GAGAAATTACTTGTAAAGGGCTCGGTAGTGTCCTGTCTCTACTATCCTCCACTTGATCATGATTGAGCCGCACGTGGAATTTATCATTGGCACCGGCGCTTCCATTATATCTAACATAATTTTCTGGGCGTTTTGCCAACTTTCCATTATTGGTTTGGTATTTTTTTCCTTCAAGTAGAGTGGACATCAAGGGAAGATTAACATCGAACGAGAAAAGTGGACGTGGGCAGGTTGAGTCGCTACCCGGGATGATGGCCGGCGGTCGAGACTAACCATGGCAAGGCAGTCAAAGGAGGGAAGGCGCCCGAGAGAATTCTCGCCGAAAGTTTGATGGACGTGTTCGAGCAAACCACGGGCTGGGGGGAGGCAGTGAGCGGTGGGCTTGATTGGGGGGCACCCGACGTCCCGAAATCGTTGGCAACCGCCACTGCGGTGCGGAACTGCGTAGGGCGTTAGCACGGCATGCGTGTGGCCGTGTGTATTTAGTTTGATGGCGAGGTCTCGCCGCGGACACCAGTGGGGAGGGACTGAGAGGACAAGCTTCGTCTCGGAACAGAGCCCAGAAACCATGCGAGTGTCGTTTACCTGCGAGTTTGACGAAAATGAGCAGGGAATCGACACAAATCAATTTAAACGCGTACAAAACATCCTGCGATCTTGAAACCTCGCAGCTGGATATGGTATAGTTCATGAAATGTCAATGGCCATTACCATGCAAATGGATGCGTTTAGAGTCTCGAGACGGCTCCGTTCGCAGTCGGTCAACATTGCTGACTCATGAAAGTAAACGGGGTAACATTTCGTACTGTGTGGCCCTCATTCACACCGGCTGGTATTTACATGGATGATATTAATAATTCAATATTCTCAACGAACCACCCGCTCTGTCATTTGACCCAGTTGAATTGGAGTAACGAGACAGCGACTGGAACAACGGTATGAGGCTGCTGGACCACGTCGCCCACGTTTGCCACGCAGGGGTAACCAAACTTGCCTCTTTTTATTTGTCTAAGCAAGCATTGCAAACAACTTTTTTCAGTGAGACTGTAATTTAAAATGTTGTTCCAGTGATAGGTGTGAGTTGTCATTGGTAGCTTGCGTTCTATGACCAGGACATGCCACTAAATCGACGTACGCACCGATAAATAGTCCATAAAGTAAGGATTCTCGGTTTTCTTTGTTCAGACAGTGAGGGAAGGTGACACTCGTTGTTTGCGTATAATTTCCAGGCAAAATGAAGTTTGAGCTAATGGGGCTGACAGACGTTCGTTGCTATTTATCTGAACAAATACCTCGCGTGGATTTTCGTATCCGGCGACGAACGAGGATTTTGTTTCTGAAGTTTTATCCGAGCATGAATATTTTTTAAGAAAGAAGTCCCCGATTGTTGTAATGACCTGAATGTGCTTTTACTTCCCGTAAACTCGGGAGGATTACACAGATCGCTGACATGTCACCGCACGCTCTTTAAAAAGGAGAGACTGTTGTGCGTACATTTCAGAGACAAAAATTGCACGTTTATTTACGGATGCCCCGCTGATTCCTAACAGCCATCTCACTTTATTCTCAACGAGCAATTGAGTACTGTGAAGGCGATGGCTTCGTGTGTCACGGAAGGGCGTTCTAGAACATTAAAGTCCGTTGAGACCGGTGGGAGACGTGTAGGGGCCTTGAAATATAAAAATAAGATTTCTCCCATATTTATTTAGAGGGGTATCTATACATGGATCGACCTGTATTTATATTTTTTTAAAGACGTTTAATTTTACATAAAATTTCAGGATGAGAATAAATTTTTGTTGTAGCCTGCACAGGTTTACATGGGCGACAGTGGCCAACAGTGGTGCTATGGAGAGAGCGCTGCTTCAGTGAGGAATTGCATGGCGGGGAGAGTCGAGGGCCTGCAGCATGAGTGCCATCAATTGCTGCCACCACTCAGATTTCACAATGAACAATGATTCTGGGTTGTCAGGATTGAAGGGGAGTGAAAGGCCACGAAAAAGCACAGACAGTAGAAGTTGGGAACTCCCGCGCTGCTCTTACCGATCGTGATGGAACACAGCCAAATCGGCGTAAGATGAACCAACAAAAATCCCACCGTTCATTTGGGATGCACGTGGGAAGTGGCTGCCTCTCAAAGAAGGCCAGGGGACACGGGCATCGCGCCTTCTAGCAGGCCACGACACACCCGAGGAGAGGCTTTGCGCCATGTTGCGCTTCCCTTTCGCGGCAAGGAGCGTCGTGCAATCCGGGAGAGACCGGCTGCCTTGCGCACCCTGTCCTGCCAGGCGCCACCCTCGCGGCAACGGTGCCGCGTACCGCAGAGACGCAGGGCGCCCCCCCCCCCCCCGGGCCCTTCCCTTTCCATCTCGCGTAGCTAGACGCAAAGTAGAACGTGAATTTAAATCTGACATCGGTGTTACGCTGACCACCGTCCCCCCACCGGCACACGAATTTTGCCCCAGTGTCAGTTACATAGCATTCGCTGTGATCGCTACTTGGCGTGTCATTGAAGGACAGCGGGAATTGATCCACAGGAGGACCTTATGGGCGCACACACAATTAAATGTAAGTGGGGGCACTTAATATCATCTGTACGCATGCGTGGTTGTCTACGCGCAGATGAAGGTCCGAATGCCTGCACAGACGCGTCGCTTCAGACCCCTCAACTAATTAGCTGCCATGGTTGCCCACGAGCGTCTGCCGAGACGCAGGGGTGGCAGAGGCCCAGGGGGTCGCACGTGGGTCAAGTGCAGTCTCGTACTCCTACAATGCGGTCGTAGTAGTAGTTGCGTTCCTGAAGAACTCCGCTTCATGGAAAAAACGCGTTGTAATTGAATAATAAATAATATAGGGTAAAGCCCAGTCCGCAATAACACGTGAGATGCGTACGCAGGCTGAACAAAGACTGAGGCACGTGGGTAGCATCTAGAAGCATCCAGCAGCATCCCACTGCCTCGTGTGACGCTACGGCGAGGCAGCCGTACAACCGCTTATTTCTCCCTCGCGCGACGTAGTTCCGTTCACTCAATCGAGTTATATCCAATTCGCATCCGCGTTGTAAAAAATGCATTCCTTGATACATTTATCGCATTATATCCAATTCGCGTTATGGAAACAATATGCAGCGTTATAGGAGAACAGACTATGTATGTATGTTGAACTTCTTTCGCACCGCGCGTAACCACACCGTGCTTATTAGAGCAGGGTTGAATAGCGAGCGTCGTGCAGCTCGGCCGTCAATGCCAACTCAGGGATCCTCCTTGTGAGGCCCGGCTGCCGTTCCCTCCGTCAGATGGCCTTGCCAGCGAGTCGTGCCAGTGTTGGATGGATGATTCTCATAGCATTAGGTTGCTTATTGGCATTTTTGCGTGTTTTTTTGCGTGTGTTAAGTTGGTTGTCCTTCCCTCCACACGTGATTAGCACGGTTGGGCTACGTATGTTCCTTGAGGAGGCTGTGCACTGCTGATGGGACGTAGTGAAAATTAAACCGGGGCGAAGGTTACCATTAAGACATTCGGATCTGAATGATTTGAGGTAATGATTCGCCCCCTGGGTGACTCCCATGAATGTCGTGATTAAGGATTGAGATAGGATTCAAGTATTTGGTCTCTCTTTTTTTATATTTGTGGCAAATGTAGCGGCCCTTGGTGGCTACCGGGGTCACAAAAAACCCATTACGTAGAGCGTGTGCAAATTGAAATGCATTGATTGTTCACCACGCGATTGTGATGCTTTTATGATGAGCTTAAAAAAATCAATATTAATTAATTGATGCGTCTTTACACCCCCACCTCCCTCCCTGCTGGAAAAAAAACCGATAGAGCACCCACAATCCACCAAGCCAGCGAATGTTTATCCTGTGAGATAATACAGCGGATTCTTTTTAACTTTCGGCAACAGGCGAGGCATTTTTCACATTGAATCGAGCGCGCATTAGGAGGGTAATGTCGGCAAGTGAGGCTGGGGGCAGAGTGTTTCTCAATCTCGGCTGGTTACGCAGGCTAGGCTGCATGCTAACACCGGCCGCCGAGGTGCAATCCTCTTAAAGATAATAGCAACAACAAACTCTGAAGGCATCTTGACACCTACCCTGAATTAATGTTTGTGGCTGAGCTGACACTGCAGCAGTTGGGCCCATTGCGTCAGCAGAATTAGCTTTTCTCATTATTTTGTAGGGTGGGAGAAGTATAACGCATGTAGAGCCGAGACAATAGAAAGTTTGCGTCCATGTGGTTATTATATAAATTGCCCCAAGGTGTTACAGCAACCAACATGAAAAATAAACTGCCTCGGTATCCTAGGTATGTTTTCACAGTGGATGTTATGCAGGTGCATTTCTTTTGAGAGCGTGAGCGTAACCCAGGACCTACAGCTGTGGGGTTGTAGGTCTATGTTAATGTTCAATTCCTGATACCTGGAAATTCCTGTTGAGTTATTTTTTTATCCTGTAAATACCAACAGACAGCCTACAATGTCGCCTTTACATATCCATCTCTTCACAACAAATATTTTTTTACACAACCAAATATGCCGCACGGTCTTGTCATTCAGCAGCATTGCTTCAAGACAAGTAAAACTAGACTGGTTTCGATATTTAGTTTCTTGTCAGCAGAAGGCTGTACTGTAAATGGCTGTACTGTAAATGTGTGCGAATACATTTACAGTATTTTTTAATCTGTTTACAGAATTTCCATAATTATGCCGTAGTTTGATAATTACCACATTGCATTGTGCGTCGCGAGGTCGGATTGTTTGTGACACCACCCTGTCGTAGTCGTCGCCGCCCCCATCATGCAAATAATGTCACGGGATATTTGTGGTGGTAATTTGGTAATTTTTCACGGAGATCACTTGGACGGCTGTGCAAATCAAACCACCGCCTCTATGTGGACCGGCTTATTGATTTATTTGGACGGTATGCTCATGTCCGGTTGAGCACCGCGGTTACCGGTTCGGCGCGTCCAGTAACCGGATGCTTGCATCCCGTGTGCCGACAGATTCTCCCGAGCCGCGCACGGGCCGACGACTCGTGGTGCCAGGCGGCGCCATGACGGAGAACGGGAACCCTGACGACACGCCCACCTCCTCCAAGGTGAGCTCCCTCCCCGTCTACCGGTTGCTGGAGAATTGCTTCGCCTGCGAACTGTCACGTTGAAGCGTCTCTCCTTCGCAAGTTGTGCCTCCCTACTTTTGGCTATTGGGTCGTTTCCGTCACTCCTCGCGGTGTCTCCGCCACTTCTCTCCGTCCGCCGCTGTGCCCATCAGCTTATACGGCTTCCATCTTCTCCATTGTTTTGCTGTTTGGTGTCCAGTGTTTGGAGATTGACGTCCAGTCAGATCGCGGTGTTGTTGTTCTTCCCCGGGCTCCTCCCGGGGTTCCCTCCGTCAGTGTCCTCCGCATCCAGGCACCATTCACCCCCCGGTCATGTGTCCAGCATCTTGCAGCCTCCTGCGCGTGGCATCGCTCAGCAGCCTCGAATCTTTGTCTCTTGCCGCGTCTTCAAAGGCATCCTTGTTAGTTACTACATTGCTCTTTGTATATATATAAAAAAAAGCTTTGATATAGAAGACAGTGGTTCTCCTGTATTCTTCTTATTCTTTTTCTATAATAGACTCTTAATGAAAAAATGCAGGAGAGCATTGAGCTACCCGACCATGTGTTTGTTGGCTTAAATATCAAATGGGTAAGAACACGTGGTCACAATGTATCCTCTTCTTTGCATTCCATGGCAAGGAGGAACTAGGTAAATTATGGCATCTGGGTGCATACGGAGAGACGGCAAAATCACGTGATTTGAATGGGTGGGGGTAGCCCAGCACCATTACTATGGGAATAGTGGGGGTATATTAATGGTAATGGGCCTGCCCTGAAACAATCAGCGTCTCGTTTCACTTCGCACTGAACGTAGGCTTGTCAGTGCGGAGGTAATCTGTGCATCGGCACTTCAGACCCTGCAGTAATCTTTAAAATTGCCAAACAGTTTAAGGACCGTCGTCATTGTGTCAAGAAGTGCTTCTTGACAAGAAACACACGAACAGCTTCATTATCTTTGGTTACATATATGATGACATAATGAGAGCTTCCACGTTACAAGAGACAATGGGTACGCAACATGTGGACACAGACTATGAAGTAACTGGTCCATACGGTTTAATTGCTTTATTTTTGTTTACTCGTTTCAAATGTCAGGTGAAAATGAGGTAGGTGGCGGCGTGGGAGGACACTGCAAAGGGAAACGTCGCTACAAAGATGAGAATTGATGGTTGCTTGAACGGGCCCGTTTTGTCGCGTGTGTTGGTGAAGTTGAACGCGGTTATTGATCATTATTGTGCGCCGAGCCGGGTGACAACCGCCTCATTGGCAGCACGGAGAGAGGGCCCTGAGCCCACCGGTGAGCCTGGCCATGGGGAGAGAGAGGGCCCTGAGCCCACCGGTGAGCCTGGCCATGGGGAGAGAGAAGGCCCTGAGCCCACCGGTGAGCCTGGCCATGGGGGGGGAGAGGGCCCTGAGCCAACCGGTGAGCCTGGCCATGGGGAGAGAGAGGGCCCTGAGCCCACTGGTGAGCCTGGCCATGGGGGGGGAGAGGGCCCTGAGCCAACCGGTGAGCCTGGGCATGGGGAGAGAGAGGGCCCTGAGCCAACCGGTGAGCCTGGCCATGGGGAGAGAGAGGGCCCTGAGCCCACCGGTGAGCCTGGCCATGGGGAGAGAGAGGGCCCTGAGCCAACCGGTGAGCCTGGCCATGGGGAGAGAGAGGGCCCTGAGCCAACCGGTGAGCCTGGCCATGGGGAGAGAGAGGGCCCTGAGCCCACCGGTGAGCCTGGCCATAGGGAGAGAGAGGGCCCTGAGCCAACCGGTGAGCCTGGCCATGGGGAGAGAGAGGGCCCTGAGCCAACCGGTGAGCCTGGCCATGGGGAGAGAGAGGGCCCTGAGCCCACCGGTGAGCCTGGCCATGGGGGGAGAGTGCCCTGAGCCCACTGGCGAGCCTGGCCACAGGGGGGGAGAGAGGGCCCTGAGACCACCGGCGAGCCTGGCCACAGGGGGGGAGAGAGGGCCCTGAGCCCACCGGTAAGCCTGGCCATGGGGAGAGAGGGCCCTGAGCCAACCGGTGAGCCTGGCCACAGGGGGGGGGGGGGGGGGGGAGAAGGCCCTGAGCCCACCCGTGAGCCTGGCCACGGGGGGGGGGGGGGGAGAAGGCCCTGAGCCCACCGGTGAGCCTGGTCATGGGGGGGAGAGGGCCCTGAGCCCACCGGTGAGCCTGGCCATGTGGGGGGAGAGGGCCCTGAGCCAACCGGTGAGCCTGGCCATGGGGAGAGAGGGTCCTGAGCCCAAGGGTGAGCCCGGCCACGGGGGTCACTCAGCGGAAGTCACATACGACTTGCTTTCTCATGTGATCCAGAGACAAGATGCCATCCGGAAATTTGTGAATGTTAGTGGTGTTCCTACGGTTAAGGGGTTTTAAATATGATAGTATGACTTGAATAGTCCAGTTTCTAGCAAAGCCAATCCATGATTTTATGGAATTAATCAATATTAAATGACTTGATTCAGTCTGGCATAGTTTGGATCGTATTGTAGACTAATAACACTTTGCTGTAATAATAAACGAGTGATGACAATAATACGCTCGTTGGTAGACAAGAATAATATAATAGATCAATAGTAGAAATTCACCAATTAACGAAGATAATTGAAAATTAGAAATCCATTGAAGGGCGAATATTTACCTTGAATGTGCTGCACGGTGCAGGCTGGCCACCTCGCCTACATCGATTTACGAACCGGAATGGATTCGCGAGAAAGAGCGCGCGTGGGATCGGGCGTCCACGAATCGGTCGCGGCGTTCACGAGCCATGCTAATTACAGAGTCAAACTGCCGCTACGTTGAGGGGAAAGAAAATGAAGGGGACAGGAGTAGTTATAGAAAGAGAAATGAGACCGTGAAAAGGAGTAAGTACGAATAACTGAATCAACGTGCCATCCAAAATCTTTAATTATAATTAATCACATTGGTTGTATTGCTGCGTGTTCACAGCAATTTTATAAAGTATAAAGAATCGGTTGCAAGCTGAGATGAGGTAAAATACTGTTTGCTATTCTATAAGCACTGTTTGGTTATATTTACTACTATTTCGTTTCTACTTACAAGGCAATCTCCTGATCTGATGCTGTGTGCGCCTATCGGAGGTTTCTGTGAGTGCCATGGGCAGCGGAGAACGTAGTATTTCCCCCATGACAAGAAATTAGACTTTGTGTGGTGGTGATGGGCGTGGCGAAAACCGTAACAATTCAGGTTCGTTCATTTTTCGTAATCCAAGTCCTCATGTAGCAGACGTAAAAATGTAAAGGCTAAAAATCCAATTTAGGTTTTTATATGAAAATCAACTGCGTTAACTTCTGATGTAGTTGTACAAAGTTTAATAGCAACGTGTTTCTCTAAATAACTTCGTGATAAAGATTACAATATGAACCCTCAGCATGATTTATAGGAAAATGTTTTAGGACTATATTCATTTTGAAATTCAAAACTTCGGCATTTTTTTAAATATATGATTATACGCCGTAATTTTCTGGACAAATTTACGTTATGAAGTTTTCTGAGTGCATACCCTCTCTCTGGGCCAGTATGTGATATGTTCGTGTGAATAATGGGTTGGTAATGATTTTGTATTGTCTGGGTGGTGTACGCGTGGTTTCCACTGCGTTATCAGTGATGTCTCTCCGCATCAGATGGGCTACATCATCATCACTGTCACCTTTTGATGGGACGGGCAGGGCTGTGTTTAGGCTGTCTCACCTGTCATTCCTACAGCGTCAGTCCGAGTGGCAGTGGTTATCCCATTTCCAATAAAGCCTCCACCATCCTTGTCGTGTGGTGACAGGAATACAAGCAAACCTCGCCCTATTTGCGCCAATGGCAATAACCTCTTTATAAATACCAGCAAGATGACTCTACAATAAATTTGTTTTTATTTGTGTAACATTGCAGAACGCATTTGCCTGCATGCAGATATGTGGACATCGCAAGGTTGGAACAGCTAAACACTCAACAATATGTGCATTTTAGCTTTTAAATTACTAAAAGATAACAATACATATAATTAGTTGAATACAGATGTTTATATGTACCTGACTAAAATACAGTAATAGGGTGAGAGTATAGAGGAAATGAGCATTATTCCACAGCTACACGCCTCCCATCGGTCTCTATACACTGGTTACATCTTTGAATCCTCTCCTGTCACATAGCAAGCCATCGCTATCACAATATCCAATCGCCCGTTGAGGAGACAGTGCATGAGGGTCATTAGAGAACTCGTGGAGATATGTATTAATGGATCACTCTTGTATACAATGGACACATTTAAATTAAAATTTCTACATATGTAACGTGTCTGCACAAACTCAAATAACATTGTCAGAATTGTGAAGGGTGTGATTGTGTGATAGTTACCTGCATATTGTGGATGCCCTTGTAATCCTTGCAATATCACCTGCCACGTCTTGTAACATGTAGAGTAGTCTGTATACATCCAAAATGGTCCTATTCAGGTTACGTCGTGAGGACCTCAGATTCCAAGAAAAAAAACTGGCCTGCATGTAGAATCATCCTCTATACTAGGCCACAGAGGTTCTGGCATGTAAACCCGCATCCCCCCGGCCTTGCCAAAACCACCAATCTGGCACAATCAGTGTGCCAGATGTAGCCCCGCACGTGATCCGAGTGTGAGTTGACTCGCTGCTGGTTGCCTCCAATGATGTCAGGATCGGCCTGTATGGGGCAGGCCCCGTGAGTCATGCCACCGGGGCAACTGGTGGCGGTTGTTCTACCGCGTCCAATGTGAGGCGGAGGAAAGGGTACGATTTTGAGCAGAGTGTCAAGCATCTTGGACACAGAAAGTGGCAGTGGTTGTGCCACTTAAGCTTTTGCTGCCGCCTCTTTGTGCTGCTTTTAGATTTCATAATGTGACGCCGTTATTCTTTTGCTTTTTTCTATTTTCTTCACTCCTGTTACTCCTTTTCTATTGCTTCTGTGACTTGGGACCTGGTCTCCTGAGTTCTCACTCGGTTCAGCAGGTACACTTGAACTTGGT